AAAGACCAAATCCAAAGGCTGTGAATCAGGAAAGAAGATCAAAAAGAAATTTCTGAATACACATTCTACTTAGAGTATGGGAAGATGAAGCCAGCGAGGAAGAGAAGGGTCTGAATTTGTAGAGTCTTGTACACTTTCGTGAAGAGGTCTAAGTAGAAGCCATGAGCAATAGCAACAGGAAGGCATGTGCCTCATTTACAGTTTTAGAAGGTTCCTCTGGACACTGTGCAGACAACTGGGATAGGAAACAAGATTAATTAAGGGGTGCATAGGGGCATAGATTGATGGATAGATATGTTCTAGTCCAGTATAGGAAAGTAATGGTAGAATGTGGGTGCAAACATTGCGATATTTACTGTAAAATTCTTTCAGATCTACATAGGATTGAACAGGTTTATAAAATATGGCAGGAGGAATCAATGCTTGCACCTTGGGAGATTTCAAAGGGTTTGCTAACAAGCTGGATATAGGCTTTGAGAACAAGTCAAGAGAGATTCATGTTTTGTGTCATTAAAAAAAAAAACTGAATAGTGAAGACATTTACTGAGACGGAAATTACTAGAAAAAGGAACAGATTTTATCATGGACACAAGTTTAATGTATTATCATTAGATTTCCAGTCAAGATGTCAGGTTGTCAGAGGCACAGGTCAGGTACTGATCCAGCAGCTGGAGATTCCAAGTACGGAAGAGCCAAGAGGCACCCTCATGGATTTTATATTCGGCCATGAAATCATGAGGGCAATTTGAGAAGGATCAGCATAAGCCTGAACACTAGCATAAAACCTGGAGGAATTAGATGAAAGACCCTAAGGACTGGGTGGAAATACTTCAGCAAATGCTAAGAACAGCAGCCCAGGTTACTCCAACCCTCCTTTGAGTTAGAGAAGTATTTTGGATGAGTATGTCACTCTGTGTAGATGCTATTTTTACATCTTTATGATGGTATAACACCCTATAAAACACTGAAAGGGTTACTGGGAGATTCTCTTTAAAACACTATAATTGTTCACTCTTTCTTCAATCATTTTTTAAAAGACAAAGAAAATAAATATTGATGTCAGTGTGTCTACTTAGGTTGATAAATCTACACCTGGAGACACTATAGGAAACATTAAAATTCTTTTAAAATAAATCAGTGGACAGGTATTATATAAGTTCCCATTTCCCATTTCCACTTAAACTCAGGTCTGGAAACTTTTGTCTCAGAAATAATAGGATCCATACAAAGCAAGTTCACATAAAGTTATGTAGCACTATAAAAGAAAAATTAAGATGCCAGAACCCTAACTGGATATACCTAAAGTTTAAACATTATTAACATATCACCATTAAATGCAGATTTTGTAAATCTATCTCCTTTCTTCAAATATTTCTCTAATTTCTTTTACCAGGCCCACGAAAAGGAAAAGAAGGAAAGGAAGAAGTAGAGAAAGAGTAGGAAAAGAAGAAGAAAAGGAAAAGATATGTTGGATAAAAATCTTTTTACTACAATGTTCTCCACAAACCGAATTGCTTACAGGAATCCTCTATAGATTATATAAACTCTTAAGTAAGTATTCCTAGACACACATATCCCACACACAGAAGATTCTTTCATCACTATATATGTATCCATATTTATGAAATGTGCTATGTATCCATACTTTCATTGTAACAGATGCTATTCTGTTCAGCAAAGGTATGATCACAATTGTTCTTTTTTGTAGAATCATGACTTTTATTTTCTTTAAAATAGTCTCGTTTAATATTTCTGAAAAAGACTTTTGATTTATTGTTCACATGTTGCATAGCATCAGAGGTCATTCAAACAAAGCCAATTCAAACATGATATTACTGCATAGCTCCAAGAACAAATTTCAGGTTACTTATATTCAATTTAAGTTCTGAAATGGGCTACATATGGCTATGAGAATGAGCCCTTTACTGAAAAAAAGCACTTTAGGAAAATGTATAAACCTATATGAAATTATACATGTGTACTATGCACACACATTTTCATTGCCCCCCCCCAAATATCATGTGTGTCATTGTCATTTGAGATTTTGTTACAGGGAAAAGAAGGAAAAAAAATTCTCATTTTAAAAACACCTTTTAAAAGTATTATCAAATGTCACTAGATTAAAGTATGAGATAAAGCTGAGATAAAAAACAAGTCTTGCCATGGTTCACATTATTGTCAATGCAAGACTAAAATTATTATTATAAAACAAAGAAAATCTGGAAAACAAAGGCTAAATCTCAACACCTATCCTCCTATATAATCATAGAAAAATCTGCTTGTGATTAATTAGTCTGGATCCGATGAGAAAGTCTTTATTTACATCACAAATAGAAAAGTTTGTAGTTCTCAACTAACTTAAAATTTATTTTCTAAGGACTGCTACAGGGACAGGATCCTGAAAAATCATAAATAATATTAGCACATATTTTCTAAAGGGAGGCAAAACTCTCTTTTTTTTTTTTTGCAAAACTCTTAACATTTTTTCACACACTATAAAAATGCACATATAAATAACCTACCAAGCAAATTTCAATGCAAATCTATGTATCATTTGTCACCGAATAAAATTAATTTCTGTGTCTAGCACAAGGACAGTCAGTATATCTTTGAAATGGTACAAGCTTCTCTAAATCTGAAATTCATGTGCACAATAAGCACACACCCCCATGAAGGATAATCAGTAAGTAGGTATCAAAGAATCCTGGTAGGGTAACAAAGCTTAGCTCTCCCACAAACTAAACCCCTCATTAGACCAGTGAACACTGGGTCCCAAGGTGTTGAAACAGCCTAGAGGGCAGTGTTGTCCACATTCCAAATTTTCAACCATCCCCAAGGAGAAGCTGTCATCATTCTGAAGTATCCAAAGGCAAGCCAATGTCAAACATGTAATTTACGCACTGATTCTGTAAGAATGTGCCCAGTATTCAATGATTTCAACACAGAAGATGTTAAAGAAAAAATGAGATTCACACACACACATTTTTACATTGCTTTCTCAGTCTTCAGTCTTCAACTACTAGGCATTTTTCATTACATTACTATAAATTCTGCAATAAGTATGGCTCAAGTACAAACTGTCCCCTCATCCTATAATGTTAAATCAGAACAAAGGTTCTAGGTGTGTCTTTAGAGAAGGAGGGGGTTGGTGTGAAAGGGAAAGAAAGATTGACCAAACTAAAGGAGGAAAAGGAGGGAGGAAGAGAAGGAAGGAGGGAAGGAGGAAGGGAAGGAAGGGAGAAATGATGTTTTGCTACTGCTGTTCCAGCAAGCTGGTTAATTGCATTTGTTTCTTATATCTCCAAACACCCTGGTACATTAATTTTCTTCTGTAAAACCAAGCTCTTCTGATTCTCTCTGTCTCTTCCAGTGAGCAATTTAATTTGTATTTCTCCCAGAGACACACTGATTTAGGACAAAAAATATCTTGCAGATAATTCCAGAGTCTAATGTGTAGTCTGTTCATGCATTTTTGTTACTGGGGTATGTAAAATCATGGTTGATGAGAACTTACTATTTAAAAAGCCATACCAAAGTCTTCTTATGATAATTGAATACATTTGGAATATGTAAAATCGTTTCTTTATGGTAATGTAAATGTATTGTAAAGGTAAATACAGTAGAGAAGAAAATGCACGGAAAATTATTATAGATATAGCCACAGTATAATTCACAGTGATCAATGCCTGAACATCCACTACTGTACTTTGAAGGGGAAGAGAGGCGCAGTGTGCACACACGCATTGCGTTCTGTGCCTACTATTGCTGGGGGGCAAAGGCGCTTATGTAGTCTGTGATTGAAAACAGCCACTTGACAGTAGGTAAACTCATCCGTATCCCTCATGTTTATAGAAAGGCTTCCTCTTTGAGTCCCATACATTAAGTTCAGTGCAGCAGCAGCTGCCAGGAACAAAGTTAGCTCCCACAGATGGGCAAAAATAGGCAGTGTCCAGCATGCAAACGCTAAAGAAAAGTTTATGTAGCAACACACTTTTAGGATGGCTCAAACATTTGGACTAATAGAGCTCAGATTCTTTACAAATACAGTAATTGAAAATTATAAGTGTTACTATCCACATTTCTGTGAAGCCATGCTCTGGTCCTCTGTCTTTATACCAATAGTTTCCATTGATATAAAAATTAATGTTCCTAAAAGACTAATACTATATACTCTTTGTCTTGCTTTTTATGAAAACAAACCAAAACGCATGTTAATGATTATTTCCACTCTTCATTCAAAAGACCTACAAAAATTGTCTCATAAGAAACCGATATCCCATAAAAATATCCCAGGAAACCAAATCAGAACAAAAGACAGGAGCTGCAGACGCAGAATCCTGTCTGCTAGGCGGACCGACTCACCCTAGAGGGAGACACCTAGAGCACCTGTTTCAGGTCCCCATTGTGTTTGCCCACTGGGGACAGAGCTGAGCGCGCCTGCAGCCAGCTCGGAGCCGATGCTACCCCCTTCCTGGAGTCTCGCCCACTCGCACTTGGACAGTTTTCTCTGTGATCTAAATTCTTTACTCTAATTTCATGGCAGGACAAATTCACCTGGTTCACAGGTGATACACACTGATCCCCGAGTCGGCCAGTCCAAATTCCTCACCCACTAAACCCAGCTTGCAGTGTTACTCTAGTTCTTCACTTGAATGTCTAAAGTTTAGAGCCGTGAACACCAACTAGAAAGCAGGCAAATCAGTATTACACTTTCAAGAGATTGATTTTCATATTTCTTTTTTTTTCAACAAAGCTGAGAGCCCATCACTCATTATCCAACCTTTCAGTTAATTACAATATTAACAATAGGTGACTACTAACATGTTCCACTTATAGCAGTTCAGAAACAAAAGATGAAAAACCTCTGCCCCTAAAGAGTTCCTATCTGACCAAAACAGACTAACAGACATCCTGTTATTTAATTTATAACCCACATCAGGCTAAGGAATAAACGTTGGAGGGGAAGGGGTAAATGATTTTAAAAAGCATTTAAAACTTACCATCAACCCGAACATATAAAAATCCACAGAGCAGTAGTGGTGTAAACATCAGCAGACTCATTTTGACATATTAAAAAGGATCCAGATTGTTTAAGAAACCAATCCCAGAGAGAAAACTACAAAAATAAGTATCAAAAAAAGAGGTAGTTCCGAAGTTTAGTCTTTCCTAGATACTAATTAGTCAAGAAGAGCAAATCTCAAGATCAGAAGGGGTTGGTGGAGAGGTCTTGAATAGCGCACATTTAGATCCATCCAAATTAACGGAGGGCACTTCAAAGGCTGCTGTATTTCCACTCTGGCTTCCTAAATTCCCACAAATTCACCCCAGGCGGAGGGATTATTCAAGTGTGTCTAACCCTCTCTCCTTAGGCTCCATTGCAATCCAAAGCCAAGTTCTTTCTTCACAAGTCAAGAAGATGACGGGGGAGGAAAAAGACCTAATTCCTAGAAAGTATTCCACAAACTTGCCAGCGCGCTGCAGAAAAACCATTGGCCTGCCTACTGCTTTTCGGTCCCGTCTCCTCTCCGTAGCAGCAACACGTCCCGGAGGTTTGGGGGTTTTTTGTTTTTTTTGGTTTTGGTTTTGTTGTTGTTGTTGTTGTTGTTTTGTTTTTTGTTTTTTCACTTAACTTCCATAGTAAGGGTGTGTCAGAGCAACACTTTGCAGGCGGGCCTCTCCTGTGCAGCCTCCTTGCTTCCCTCCACCTCTCTCCTTTCCAAAAGAGAGGAAAAGGGAAATCAGGACGAGTCGGGTGGAGAATCCGAACTCCTACGTGGTGAGGCTGCGGGAGGGAGCGAGGGAGGGCAGGAGCGCGGGAGGGCGGGAGCGGGGCGGGCTGAGGCTGGGCCACCCGCGGCTGCGGCGAGAGCGGCGAGGCGAGGGCGCCGGACCTGCGCCGAGAGAGCCCGAGCTCGCGCGGTCCGGCGGGCAGAAGCCGCCGCTGCTCTGGCAGCCGAGCGTCCGCCTCCTCCCGCAGCTGCCGCGGGTGGAAGGACTTAGAGAGGGAAGGCGAGGAGGCGGGAGGGAGGGGAGCGATGAAAGCTGCTTGGAGTCGGCCCGGGGAGGGGGCGGGAGAGGGGGGTGGCGCTGAGCTCACCCCCTGCAGACTCCGCCCTAGCGGGGGCGACGGCGCCCTGGAGCCTGGGGAGGGGTCTGCGGAGTGGAGAGTCCTAGGGGAACGGATATTGACCAATCGGGCTGCTGGGGTCCAGGCCACCGGTCAACTCACGGCCCTCTCGGCACCCCATCCCCCTCCTTCCCGCCGCGAGGCGATAGGTGGGCTCCGGCCTCCCGCTCCTCTCTGCGTCCCGTTTAACGGGCAGGTAATTTTCTCCGTGAGTGATTTCGTGCAAGCTCTTCCTAATTATTCATCCCTCGGTCTGTCGGAGCTTGCACGCGCTTTCTGGAAAAAAGATCATTCTCCCGGACCCAGGGCGCAGCCTCGTGACCCGTTCAAATCACCCACTCGCTCACTCTTCACCCTTTAGCAAAAGGAGCTGAGCTGGAAGGAGGAAAGGAAACATAAGCACCTCTTGGACCGGGAAGGATGTGTGTGGGTACTTCCTATATGGGGAGGGAAAAAAATAAAAAATAAAAAACCCCGGAGGAGGGCGGGGTATCTGTAACCTCGCGGCTCGGTGTTAGCCTGGATCTGAGGGCCCGCGTCACAATCCCCCCAGGAGAGGAAGGGCTGGCGTCTCCTCTCTCACTTAGTGGCCTTGTGACCTCTCCATGAGGACTTTGCTGTGGGTCGTGGAATGCCAGCGAGTTCAGCAGAGGACGCTTAGGATGCGGGGCGGGGATCAAAGGGCTTGGAGGTTGTGGGGTGGGGGATTCCCGGACCCTTAACCTTCCCCAGACTGGTACCTTCGAAAGGAAGTTCAGAAAAACACAGGCCCTGATGGAGGAAAGGTGACCACCTAACTGGGTTAACAGAAGCCTAAAGAAAAGAAAGAAAGAAAGAAAAAAACCCCAAAACCGAATTTCAGTCCGAAGAGGATAAAACCTCGAAAATTAAGGCAAAACACTACCAAAAGAATATCATTCGGGACCGGGGATGAGTAAGAAAGCCCATGTGAAATCAAAGGGATGCCAGGGTCTGCGGTGCCCCGGTGTGGCCAGGCCCACGTGTGATCACAGGCTCGCTGGTAGCTGTCTGATGCGTGTTCGGGTGATTAGGTGGCGGCCTGCAGGAACGCGCGCGGCTCCCCGCGCCGAGAGCATCAGATGGTGAGTCTTTAGTTCCCCCTACTGGAAAATATTAGGAAAGATTCTCTCCACTTGGGGACGTTTGAGGAAGAGCCTTTTGTCTGGACGGATGCACTTTGGTGCTGCCATTTAGTTCTCCCTTGCCCATTATGGGTATGATATGGTGTGTTTTAAAAAATGGTCAGCGACATTGACATTCAAGCAATTATGAGAATCCTTACAGCATCCCAGCATGCTTGAAAATTGTAATGAAATACTCTTGGAAAAGAATGAAACAAGCCATTTTTCTCATGGAGCGTTAGAATAATTTCAGCACACTTTTGGTTTACAATATTTAGTTATAAAGAAAAAAGTGGCAGAGTGAAGTTAAATCATTTGACTTTTCGCAGTTATGATTCTGAATTAGCACTGTCTGGGAAAAGACTAACCCATTAAGGGGAAACAAGCTCCCTAGCTTCCCTTCCTGACAGCTCCCTTCCCAGAACTAAGCAGAATTCTAGTTAGAACACTGTGTTCTACAAAAATCCAAAAAGTTTTTGGGTTAAACATCTCTTGTAACTGTCTAGCACACAGGAAAATAATTGATAATTCTTTCCTTTTAAACATTTGAAATAGATTTAAATCTGAGGATTACAGGGCCAGGGATTTAGCTCAGTGCCACCGAGCCTGCCTGGAAAGTGCAAGGTCCTGAGTTCAATCCCCACTCCCCAAACAAAAACAAAAACAAAAAAACCCTGAAAGCTGAGGATTACAAAGTTTACCCCATTCTTATAAATAGTGTATCCCCTGTGCCTTACCTCAGCCATATTTCCTTATTTAGAAGCAATAAAAAAATTCCCTAAAAATATGCTCTCCCTTAAAAAAGTAGTGCAGGAATTAACAAATCATGTAAACTTTTAAGATCTTTAATTTTAAGAGGAATTTTGGAAAGGCCAACAGGAATATTTTTCACCTAGAGTTTTCTTATGGCTCTTCATGTATCGGGCAAAAGATACATTCTACTTTATATTAGATAGACTCACCAACTGTAAATATCTTTCCTTAAGTAACCTATTAAACCAGAAAAAGGCAGAAAGAGCAAGTGTGGCAAACAGGAGGGATAGTTGGAGGAGATCCATCCACCTATTTCCATTGTCCTGTAGGAACTAAATGTTACTTTTCATCTCACAGAAACTTATCTATCTAGGGAGCATGACAAGTAAATTTACCCAGAGAAGAGAGTTGTATTTAAGGGAAATTTATTTTAGTTATATTCAGTAGGCATCTTTGGCCAAGCATCTTTATTTTGCATTCATAATTACTAAAAGTAACAAAGCAAGCTGTGGATATCAGAATGGTGCTGTCTTTTTCCTGTACACTCACTGTACTATGGGACAATATCTGTAACGAGAGTTTTGTAGTTCATGTTTTCTGCTTCACTTGAAGGCAAGTTCATAAATGGTTTTTTAAAAGAATTGTCAATATTGCATTGATATAAAATGTGACTAAAGAAAATGATTATAAGAATCTCATCCTAAAAGATAGTTTAGGAATGTGACCAAAGTTCCCATACTAAAGCAGTGGCAGTAAGGAGTCCTCAGTCAGAAAAAATATGGACATTAAGTCCAGAGGAGCAAACTTGATAACATTTGTACTCGAGAAATGTGTATATTTCAATTAGCATTAACATACTTTCAATGAGCACTACCTGTATAAGAAATAGATTTCTTTGTTACATTTTTTTTTAAAAAGGAAATTCTTTAAAATCTGGAGTTTCTACTAGAAGTTAGAAATTCAACTTTTGCAATGTATTAGCTAAAAACATTAAAACTTTTTTTTTTCATTAAGGGCTAGGGATTTAGCTCAGTGGTTCCAGCGCTTGCCTCCCAAGGGCAAGGTCCCAAGTTCGATCCTTATACCAAAATAATTTTTTTCCATTAAGATAAAAAGCCAAAAATGGCTTAAAACAGTGAAGTTCTCCCCACAGTAATGTCAACAGTTCAGAAGTTTTAACATATGGAAATGTAAATAGGGATTTGATATCAATTTCTTTGCAACTATGAATTGTTTTTACTTTTCTTAACAAGCAGCTGAATAGAGAAATATGCAAGGAAATCTAGGCATCTTTTATGTAAATCTTGGAATGGTATTATAATGTCCTCAAAATATTCCTACCAGATATATATTTTAATACATCTGACAACAACTGTATGTAGGAGCCTATTAACCCTAATTTGAGAAAGGTGATCAAATGACCCTCTTTGAATTTCTTTTTTTTTTTTTTC